TAAAAGATGAACAATACATTTAAATATAACTTCTGATCAGAATTTCAAGATGAATTAATCTTTTTTAAGAAAATTTCAATTGCAAAAAAGCCATTTTTGCATATTAAATCTCAATTATTTTGGAATCTTGACGCATTGGTAAAATTTGGCTTACGGTATCTAAAAATCTATCAGAGAAACATTTTGTCTGATTCAAAATAAATTTAAAAAATATTTCTTTATAGACTAATGTTTACAAAAAAATTATAGTACCTGTGACGGAAGAGGATCAAAATAAAATCATATGAACCGTGACTAAAATCTTTTTTACAGGAAAATATCAAATATTGCAAAAAATCCTTTTTGCATATTAAATCTCAATTATTTTGGAAATCTCACATGTTGACAAAATTTCGCTTACGGCATCGTTTTTAATATTCATAAATGTATAAGAAATAATTTGTTTGATTACAAATAACTAAAAAATATTTTTTGTAAATGAGTGTTTACAAAAAAAACCACAGTGTTTTTGCGGTGGAAAAGGATTAAAATAAAAATGTATGATTCATGAACAAAATTAGCGAGATTTCCTGCCATTTCGCAACACAACAGTCATGGCGTGGTTTGGATTTTAATAGAGTTTTAATGTGATCATGAATAACAAGAATCAACATGTTGTACATATATGATGTTTCTCTCGTTTGTACTATCTCGCGCAAAATTCTAAAACTTCCGCCTTACGAGGGTACAAAAGAGAAGTAAAATTAAAACGCATGGTGCCGTGGTGAAAAATGCATCTAAATTGTCTTGAACGAAGATCCTCGCACATGATAACAAACCCTAATAAAACTTTAATAACCGTCGCGATGTATAATGGAATTCACAATGAACAGCAAAAACCGACGTGACACCTTCTTGCAATTGCGATCATAGTTAAGGACAATGCACAAAGATTAAGACCAAGAAAAACGGCAAAAAGTAGTTTACAAATGAGAACGATAATCATTTAGTGCACGACTGTTCTGAATAGAGTTTTCTGTGCAAAGCGTTCTGCCACTTCTTTTTATGCGAATTCGTCGTAATTTCACATCTCTTTTATTAAATTCTTTTTTAATTTTCACTATTAAACTACAGTCATTTCTCAAATCAAGATCTTCTTTGAAGATAAAATACACTTGGAATTTATTACCAACCTTAAAAACAATTGTCATCTTTACTCTCTATTTTTGAAACTTAATTAAACAAAATATTGTATTTTTATCGTAAGCGGTTGTGAGATGAAAAAATTAAGAAATATCAAAATGCGGAAGAGAGAAATTTATTGATTTAATAAACATATGAATAGAAGATAGATATCTTGTATATTTACCGCAAAAAATAAGAATCTTAAGAAATCTCAGACTTAAATGTTTTTATTAAATTAAAATTCTATTATAAACTTTTATTAAAAATAATCCTTTGAAACTTCGCTGTAAACTTTTTTTCTCATTGTCTTTAACGCACAATTTCAGCTTAAATAATCTCAATCAAAGGAAATTATAAGTACACAAAAGAACGGTGGGTCGTTAATTTCAGGGTGAGACATATCCTACATTGTGATAACTCGTGTTCAAGAGAGATAGGGAATAGAAAGATATATCGATAAGTGAAATGAATGAAGTTTTATGCGTCCGCTTCTTTTCGCACCGAAGATGAAGAGGGTGTCGCTAAAATAAATGATAGGTATGTACTTTTTTTCGGGAGAGCACTCTTGACTTGCCACAATAAAAGTGATAACACTGTAATGGTGAGAGACGATTATACATTAAAACAGATGCATTTCGGAAATACGGTCATGAAATGCGGCCGCATTTTCGATTCGAGTTTCCAAGTCCGTTAACGAGTTAAAATCAAATCTGTAATGTAAATTCTCCGTCGAACTCGCTCGAGTGTTTATTTTCGCCAATAAAATATCAAATTTAAAATTAAATAAAAGATTAAATTTAAGATAAATCGAAGAATTAAAAGCTATAATTAAATGGAGTTGTATGTTAATTGAAGCAAATGCGCAGAACCTGAGACGTCTTGTCGATAATTCTCGCGCACTGCAGCATAGGTGCAATAACCCCAGACACAACATACACTAATATATCATCGTATACCTCATACACGAACTCTACCTCCACACTATATTTAACTTCGAAAGCGAACGACGGACAAAAAACGGCCCGGTAATTCTTTCTCCGATTCGTTAAAGCGTTCATTTATGCGGTAACTGCGAAAATTATCCAATTTCACGCGGTTTCGCGGCGAAAAGGATATCGACCCACGAAATCGCTTCGAGAAAATCCTAGAGACTACATTTTATTCGTGTAACAACACAAACTAATAGTGCACGACATTTTGTAGATGCATTTTTAAAGTCGTAAATTTGAAAAATTGAAGATTTTTCTTGTCGAGACAAAAAAATCTTCAATTTTTCAAACGCTGCTGATAAGAAGGCAAGCAACAGTTATTAGTTTATCTATATTTTTATGCGACATAAATGTATACATATTATATATAGATTATATTTTATCATATATGTATATTAGATAAAATCGATAAATGTATTTGCAGCATGGAGACAGATAAACTTCGCGATAGCAACGCCAAAGTACGTCTCTAGGGTAATCGACCTCGAAATCATTGCCAGAGAGCATTCCCCGGCACATTTAGATACTAACCTACGACTGTGCGTTTATTTTTCTTCGGCGTATTACGTGACTTGGAGTTTCGTTGATCACATAATCGACGCTCGGCAGTGAATATTATTAATCATTCAACTTACTACCGAATTTCTCAAACAACTAAAGAACGGCTAAAAATAGGACTACAAGATTACCATAAAGATAACATGCATGTAATTCAAATGTAATTAAAAACGTTAGAAATTCTTGGCACGAAATTTGTAGAAAAAACACTGTTTTCACAATTTCTGGAAACGGTATATTTAAAAGTTCATGTAAAAATTCTCTATATCCATTCTTTAGTAACTTTGGGCGAGAACTAAAAAATTTATAGATAGTTGGACTCATAAAAAAATAAAAAACATAACTAAAATAATTCACGTTGTACATATGATGTATCGAATTCATAATGTAGGTATATAACACGCATACCAAGTTAAATTAAATATTTATACAATTAAATTAAATCCTTGTTGACATGTTATTGACTTATCATTGCTATCTCAATAAAATCTCTGTTATCTTATACTGAAAAAAATATATTATAAATTATGTGCATAACAAGTCTATTTAAGGATGTATTATAATTATTTTTTAACAAAATAAAAAAAATATGAAAAAATTACAATTTTTTTTATATTGTATTTGAAAATAATACAAAAAGTTTGGCGGCAATTTAGAATCTGGATCAAAACTTGTTTCAATCTGGATAAAAAATTGTTTCCATAAAAAATAAACATACTTTTAAAAAAAATTAAGATAAAAAATTAGAAAATTTTTATTTAAACTAATAAACTGTATTATTAAATATAAATGTTGGTCTGGTTGCACTGTTTTATATCAATATATAATATTCATTTTTACACGGAAAGTTTAAACTTCCGACTCTAGTCACCTTGCAAAGACTATGTGCCTGATCCTTAAGAAATATGCGATATTCTTTCGTGATATCATTCCCATATTTTAAAAGTGACATAAAAAATGAGATTTTTGTACCATGAGTTATTACCATGAATGAGATAAGTAAATATTGCCCTATCAATCATAAAAAATGTAATTTTTCATAAAAAATCGTCATAATTCAAAAAGGATGTCTTTTTTAATAGTAGTTTTCGTGAAATGAAAATATCAGAAATATTTTGTTAATACTAAGAACATATATAATATATTCTTTTTGTTAATATGATTTAACTAATCAATAATCTTCTATCAATTTAAAAAGTAGTTGTTCTTTCCTGGGAAATGTAATTTTTTGTGTTGTGTCACTTTTGAAATAGGGAAATAATATGTATTATACTACTCGTATATACTTTTAGATATTCTATAAATGTAAATGATGAATACATACATGAGAAAAGAGAAAAATTTTTACTATTATTATCGCACATTTAACGCTAATTGTAGCCGTCTGATTTGCATAGTACGTTGAACGTAATCCTCATTATTTAATTAAACAAGCCTCAGCGTGTACAAGCATCGGTATTTAACATTAAATCTAACATTAAATGGCAGGAAGATAAACGGGGTAAACTTGTCGAATGCAGTTTGTTCAAGGAAACTAATTGTAAGATTCGAAAATGGCTGATAAGAGCGACAGATACAATCCAATGGAAAAGTTTGCTTGCGCGAAAGTCACGTGTCCACTCGAGAAGCAATTCTCGATAAAATTTTGCAGTAAAAGTGGAAATTAGAATTCTTTCCGATTATCAGATTGAAAAGCTTCTTAATTAGCAAAAAAATACAATATATTGTATTTAATTGTTAAAAAACAATACGTAATTAGACTTTTAAAATTGCATTAAAATCGCCTAATGACAAATACATTAATAATAATAATAACGTCAAAAAGTAAAGTTAACATTATTTTTATCACTTATACATCCATATTTCTATCAATGTAGATTAGCTTTAAATTTCAATCTTACTATCAATATATAAGTCATCATTCTTGTTATCTTTTTCCAATTCTAAGAATTACAAAAACATAAAGAATAAGTTAAATCGAAATTAAAGTTAATCTACATTAGAAGATACGAGCATTAATAGGAGAAAAATATTGATTATTACGAAATAAAAGAAATTGCTCGCAAAACATGAGATCAGTCAAGCGATCTTAACATTTAAAAAAATATCATCGAGCAGACGCTGTTATTGACGATTAAAGTTCAGGGCAATTGGTAAGTTTTCTAGAACTTCGTAAACCGCCTCTTCCATCTCTCAAAGTACAGAGCATTAGGAAAAGAAAGCGGTGCGAAGGGGGGTGAAAGTCGCGCGTGGTAGCGCGCGCGATCGGCGTTCGTTGAACCCTCTTACCTTAACGTCCCCTCGCGCCGGGGCGACGGCAGCACGCAGCCAGCACGTACGTCCCCGCGCCGCGTTGCATCGCCGCCCTTCCTTCCTTCCGATCCCCGCCGACAACGCCGTAGCGATGCAATGAGAGGACCCTCCTCACCCGCAGTTAACCCGGTCCGTATATTCAAGGCGCACACGGGACGCGAAGCGAGTCGTCGCGCGATAACATAACTCCGCGCGAGGGGGTTACACTCCTCCGCGATCGCGGCGTCACACACGCCGCGATGTCGCGCACGCGAACGTGATCGGGCCACCCCCGGCGGCGTGTGGATGCCGGCGTTTTGCAAAAAACGTGGACGGGGGTGGGGG